ATTTCAAATATAAGCCACTTACTAGACTTCTTTTCTGAGCTCCTTCAAATCCTCTTTAGAAGTGAGCTAGAAAATTTTTTTTGTTTGTTTAATTACTCTTCAGTAGCCACAGCCCTTTAAAGCTGAATGATGAAAGCATTTAATTTCAATGGGAGGTATGGACTTTCATCTCTCTCTTTCTCTCTCTCTCTCTCTCTCTCTCTCTCTCTCTGTCACACACACACACACACACACACACACACACACACACAGTTAAAATGAAAGAAAATCTATTAAAAATTTCCAAGATGCATTTTATACTCCTGATACCCATTATTAACATTATTTTTTTTTCTACAAAATGTGGTCCTTGTTCTATGAGCTAGACATTTCAAGGGTGCTAAGATTTTGACCCTGACTATATTTAGATAAGTTGATGCCAGTTTAAGCTAGTCTCTCACTGAGATCCAATGATGTTTCTTTTGCATTTTTATCAGATCTTGGACTGTTAAACCAAATACGCTTGGAAAGTACCTCAGGAGCTCGTTATTAAATACAACCTCAGGTCTCTGAATTCCAACAAATGGAAGGTTGAATAGCAACTTACTTTGCTTTGAATCCCCTCTATTGAATGGTTGTAGTAGTAGATTTCACAAGTATCTTTTTCTCAAATCACCCTGAAATAATGATGAAAGACATTTAATTCCTCAATTAGAGCTTACGTCATCTAAGATGAGTTTTTAGAAAGTTACTCTAGAGCCGAAATTTGATCAACTATTTGCGGAATAACTTCTTTAAGGAGCTATGGGATGTGACTGGTGTGTTCAAGGAGCTTATAGATTACCTTGGCTTAGAAAGCCAACATCCTACGTCCTATAACAAGGACTGCCTTGCATGGGTTGACAGGAATTCACAGAAAGAGTGTAGATGTCCCCTCTAGAGAGGGTTCCCTAGAGCAGTGGTTCTCAAACTTCCTAATGCCGCGACCCTTTAATACAGTTCCTCATGTTGTGGTGACCCCCAATTTCATTGTTACAAATTGAACATAATTAAAGCATAGTGATTAATCACAAAAACAATATGTAATTATATATGTGTTTTCCGATGGTCTTAGGCAGCCGTGGGCAAACTACGGCCCGCGGGCCGAATCCGGCCCGTTTGAAATGAATAAAACTAAAAAAAAAAAAAGACCGTACCCTTTTATGTAATGATGTTTACTTTGAATTTATATTAGTTCACACAAACACTCCATCCATGCTTTTGTTCCGGCCCTCCGGTCCAGTTTAAGAACCCATTGTGGCCCTCGAGTCAAAAAGTTTGCCCACCCCTGGTCTTAGGCGACCCCTGTGAAAGGGTCATTCGACCCCCAAAGGGGTCGCGACCCACAGGTTGAGAACCGCTGCCCTACAGGAAGAGGGACTCAAAGCATTTTTTTATTTCAACAGAAATGTATTTAACAAAGCCTGCATGTTAGGTGCCATGTACTCTGCTAGAATTATAGTGATGAGCTAGACAAGGATCCTGTATGTATGCAGCTCCGCTGACACATCTGGACACAAAACCAGACCATTACCTCAATGGTAATGTCTATGTTGGACAAATTACAGAGCTTTGAAGGAACACCTGGATGTGGAGGGAATGAAGATTTTTTTTGACTGAACTTGAACAGAAATAAGTCCCAAGTGGACAATACTGTTTACCTACTTAAAATAGTGTTCCTTTTCTTCCCTCTCCAGAAGCGTGCACTCCACTTTTCCAAAAGAAGTCTCCAAAAATATAAATATGTAAGCTTTCCTTAGAAACAAAAATAGACTTCAGAATTTTGTAGGAAGAAGAGCTCTTAGAGAAAGCTAACCTGCTTTCCCATCCTCTCCTTTGTAACTCTGGAAAGGGAAAGAAAGAACACGCTTTCCAAAGAGCGCCAATGGCTCGGGAAATGGAGACCTCCTCTGGTTCACAATGCAATGTGCAGGGAAGATGGCAATCCTGTGTCTTCCACCTTTTTTATTTTGAGGGGAGGATTTTCTATGCTCCTAGTATGTGCATAGTATTTTAAGTCTCTGTATCCATCTCGATATCCTTTAATAGAGACCAAATAGGGAAAGAAAAAGAAAAGTGGTTGTGGCAATCTGTTTAGAACTAGCACTGAAATTATGGCTGCCACCTATTCCCCTTGACCTAATTAATCTGTCTACTGAAGGACCGAAAAATTACTGTTTTTAAACGGCCCACATTCATTTGGAGAGCTTAGATATGCTCCCATAGATACATTATTTCTCAGTTGGACGTCTCCCATTAGATACTGCTGATTGCTTTAATTTTGTACCTTAGCAGAAATATTACTTTCCCCTCATTTGTGTAGCTTTCTCTTATAAGCCACATAGCACCCGTTATCCCTGAAGAGCTTCTTGCATTGAAGAAGAAATTAAAAGCAAACAGGAGGTCTTCTAAACTGATACCCTTTTCCTACCCTTGTTAAAAATGGCTTTGAGATATCATTCATGGTAATGCTATTTTTTTTTTCCGAGTCAGATGTAGTGACATGGCCCCTAACTCAAGGTTACATCTCGGTTTTTAAAAATTTTATGATAAAAGGAACAAACAGACCACCAGAGTTAAAGAATAAGACATATGTTTTAAGATAGAATTATTTGAGTGTCCAAACATATGAAATAGTCTTAGCTATTTTTTTAAAATTTTATTTTCTTGTTTAAAGTATTACAAATAGTAGTACATATGTCTCCTTTTTTCCCCCATTGACCTTCCCCTGGCCTCCCCTACCCTCCTAGTCTTAGCTATTGAATATTTTATTTTATGGGATGCTATTTTCATTGTTATTTATTCTTTGTACTTCCATATTTCATAGCAAATGTTCTATTACAGCATCCTCCTAGTGTAACATTTTGCACTGTAATTATTAATTTTCTTGTCCATCTCCATGACTAGACTGTGTGCTTCTTGTCTTCTGTTTATGCCTGGCATATAGCTGGTACTTGATCAAAGTTAGAATGCATATACAGCACTAAATTAATGTGGCTCCCATTAGGGAGAGAGAGTTATCTTAACTTACATTACACCCTGGGCATTTTATTAGATGTTTTCACTTTAAAAATTATCAACTGAGATTGGGGCACTGCTAGCAACAATGAAACATGTAGTCCCATATACGTGTGAAATTCAACCACAGGAAATAAATAACTGCATTACATGGTGGTGGAGATGGCAAAGTAGATAGCATCTGTGGCACTACCCACCCCAGAGAAGTTATTCTGTGTCTGTGAACTCAATTCCAATAGGAACAACTCCATACCAAGCCACAGTTCCATCAACAAAAATGTATTGAGCATTCAGCAAAGCTAGCACTCTCCTAGAGCCTAGGAAATGATGACCAGGAAGTATATGTGCCCATCTGGAGGTCATGGCACTAAAGGGTGGTCAGAAAGGCAACTCTGGCTGAGAATCAGCAGGAGCAGAAATACAGTGGCAAGAGCCAGCACTGAGGTAGACGTGACCCAAATGTCATCCATAAACAGGACTGGATAAACACAATGCTGTATATACATGTAACCGAGTATTTATTCATTCAGCCATTGAAAGGAATGAAGTACTGATATGTGCTCCAACCTTGTAAACACGCTATGCAAAAGAAACCGGTTGCAAAATGCCATATGTTATATGGTTTCATATGGTTTCAATGTCCGAAGTAGGCAAATCCATAGACAGAAAGGATTTTATGGGTGCCTAGGGATGAGGAGAGGGAGGCCTGGAGAGTGACTGTTAATGGACATGGGATTGCTTTTTAGGTGATGAAAATACTCTAATAGGTTGTGCTGATGGTTGCAGAACTCTGAATACTAAAACCAGCACGTTGTATACTTTAAATGAGCAAATTGTATGGTACGTGAATTATGTCTCAATAAAGCTGTTTCACAAAAAAAGAAACACCAGCACTGTGCAGATAGGGAACACAAGGTAGTGTTGATGTGGCTGAGGCGGAAGTAATGATGCAGGAGAAATGGCAAAGTCAAGAGTGGGGGGAGGGGGGAGGGGGGAGAGGTCTAGCGGGTCCCTCCTGGGTGCCCTAAGAAGGAGCATTGTCTTGTCAATGAAGGAAGCCCTGCAGTGGTGTGTGGTCGCCCTGGTACCTTTGAGACAGAACATAACATTGTAATCTTTCTTTCCACACCTGTGAGAACAGTGATGACTGAAACTAGGGGAACAGTGAATACTGGGATTTAGGAACCCCTTAATGTCCTGGTATCACAGTGCTGTGTTCAAGTCACCCTCGTTTTACTTAATCATGACCCCAAGGCATGAAGGTAGTGATGCTGCCAATTTAGATATGCCAAAGAGAAGGCATAGCGCTTCCTTTAACTGAAAGGGTGTGTATGTATAGAGTTTGGTACTACAATCCAAGGTTTCAGGCATCCACTGAAGGGTCTTGAAACGTACCCCTCCCCCGTACCCCTCCTCCACCCCACCCCCTGCAGATAAAGGGGGAATCCTGTACCTTTCCAAGCAGTTTTCATACATGAATCCCCCAAATACCCAAATACAGAGAGTCATGGCCAGGGTGCCAGGCTGGGAGGCGGAGCTGCTGGGAGAGTGAGGAAGGGTAGGTAGTAAAGAGACTAAACAAAAAGCAGAGACCCCATCCACCCCAGCTTTGCCGCCCATTAATCAGAAACCTGGAAAACATCGCTCTACCTTGTGTGTGCCTCCTTGACCTCATGGGTAGACAGGAATATTGGTACTGGCTGTGACCACCTCATTCTGGTGTTCTGAGGTCAGGAGACACTCTGAAAGCACCTTGTGAAGAGCAAAATTCTTCGAAATGTGATACCAAACAGCTTTTCATTCCCACTCAATATTATAAGTGAGGCATAAAAATGTATTTAATTTGGGCTGCTTTGTTCATAATAAAGCATGTCCCACCTAAAAAAATGTATTTAATTTTGCTGACTTTTTATTTCACTTCTAACATTTCTAATTTGTTTCTTGGATGTGATTTTTTTTTCTAGGTTACTTGCCTGCAAGACTTTTTTGGTGATGATGATGTTTTTATTGCATGTGGACCTGAAAAATTCCGTTATGCCCAAGATGACTTTGTCCTGGATCACAGCGGTAAGGCAGTTCCTGGACCACCTCTGTAACCCTGAAACAGGGGTTTGGGATGTAGTACTGTGCTTGGGGCATGTTAAGTGGTCCTTAGCCCATCTTTGAAGAAAGATGGCATTGGCAGCACTATCTTTGAATTAATGGAAGTAGAGAATAAAATCAAAGTCTTTACCTAGTTGTGAAAACAAAACACACACAACTAACCCCAAGTCAATAGTTAAGTAATTTTCATTTTTAGCAATTTTGTTCTATCTCTTTACTGCATTGTTTTGCCTTAGAAATTAATTTCCTGCCCTCTTTCAGAATGGAGGCTAGTTGTGCTACCTTAATTGTATGGAAAGTGTTGAACTTGAAACAGTTAGTTGTACATTTCCAGTGTCCATAAAGAGATACAAAAAATAATAACTACTAAGTTGTTGTTAATGATTTTTACCTTACTGTTTTGTTTGTAACTTTAGAAAAGCAGTGACATGTATTGTTTATATATGTAGGGAAATAATGCAATTTTCATTGATGGGGTAGGATAGTTCTTTTCTTTTTATTTTAGCCAATAGATGGAGTTTTCAATTATCAATAACCTTGGTTATTTCCAATGTTATAGTTTCTGGAAATATTGCTTTAAATTTAAACCTATTACAGTAATAGTGATTATTTCCACCAGTGAAATCAATTTCATCTGTAACAAGGTAAAATCATACAGGCATAACATTTCACGGAGGAGAGGGTTATTAGAAATACAATCTCACTCTTTAAGTTCATGAATGAGGGAAGTTTTTCAAAAATTAGACTCAGGGGGACTCCTTCATTTGTAGTGATTCTGACAGTCCAGAATTAGAGAAACATATTACCAAATAAATACGACGATCCATTGACTTTTAAAAATTCAGGATGGTCCATTCTGTAGAACCAAACTTCCTATGTAATCCCCTCTGCCTCGTCCTCCCCCTTCACAGTTGCTTTGGGGTAATTTATCTACCTTGTGCTTGGGGTTCTTTGATGTCCTCTTTGTTTTCCTGTTGTATCTTTCACTGCTGCCAAACTTCTTTGAGTGTTTCTGTACTGTCTTACATAGTCTCTTGGACTGGCCCTGCTTTAAACTGATAATATGACTGCCAAGTCCTTAAAGAATTGCAGGTGATGTCCTTTCCTATGACCCATGTAACGTTCTCCCTGATTCTCAGGAATGATTAAGGTTGCACAAAATATGCATTTACATGTCATCTGTATTTTACATCTTTCTTGATGTTAGCATAATTTCATTTCCCAGTACTTCTTTGATGTCCATCTTGGTCATTTTGCAAGTAGAGACACTGAAACTCAATGCTATGCTCTAGATTACAAAGTTAATTTGGGTAACAGCAAAAACAACAATAACGAAACATGTATTGAGCACTTGCTGTATACGTGCCGGCGTTGTACTCCATTGACATGTATGCTGTAAACTCCTAAGCTAGTTGGATCATTGGTAGTTTCAGCTACAGATAGACTCATTAGAGAGAAGTGGAAGCTACTGATAGCTTCCCTCTCAATGGCTAATTCCTGAATCTTCTGCACACTAGGGATGATAACAGTGGCCTTTTCACAAGATTCTGTGAGGATTAAATGAGTCCACATATAAAGCAATTAGAAGGGTACTTGGTTACATAGCATGTGCTATGCCGTTGTTCATGTTGTTATTATACCACCACCATCTGGTCACAAAATTTTTCAATGAAAGCAGGTCTCAGACCTAATTCTCCCACAGTACACTTATTAGGAGGCAACGTTTTTTTCAAAGTCAGTCATTTAACTTGGGTTGTAATATTGATGAAGTCCCAACTGTTAGTCCTTTTAGATTCCTGACAAAGTCTTGCATTAACATCAGTTAACTTAGTGTTAGTCAAGTAACACAACCCTCAGAGCTGGAAGCAGGACTCAGATTCCTAATCCTGGGCTGTAATTCTGAGCTTCTCATACTAGCTCTGTAGGTTTAGATATCCTGCTCATAAGAGTGGCAGTGCCTTTAAGATGTTTCAAACTCATTCACACACCACTCCCTTCGATGGTGGAATACTGAGTAACATCCATAATGCTGATTAACTGAGCTGAAATTGCTACAGCCCCCTCCCTGCGAGGTTTTGATTGGAATCTTTCAAATGCTACCCATTGTCCCCTGGTGTGTATTTGCCTGATTAGTGTATTTCACATGTTAATTTATTGCCCCTGGGGTATCCATTAAAGCTAACCCACATTTCAATCATCTTACATAAATTGAAATATTTTAATGTAAATTACAGACAGTATGTTATCTAATTTAATCCTTAGAACAATCCTGTGATGCAGATTTTATTTTTATGCCATTTCAAGGGGGAAAAAATGAGGTTTAGAGTCTAACCAAAGTCCCCTAGTTGCCCAAGTCAAATCCATGCTTCATCCAAAATCTGCCATGAATGTAAAAGCCATGTTCTTAATTATTCCAATTAGAACTGCTTACTTTAGCTCTAATACCTTACACGTTATTTGGCTATTTATGGGAAGACCAAAGTTACTGTTTAAAGTTAGTTTCCTCCAGTTTCGTGCTCATTAGAAAGATGGGACAGGAAGGGGTTCATAAATTAGGGTTCTGCATACCCTTTCAACATATGTTCAAGATTTGGAAAAAATAATAATAGTGTAGCTTCTGCCTGTCCATGCTGCGGTCTAAACACCGTTGCACATGTTTAGATTAGGATTTGTGTGTGTATCAAGTTAGGACACTGGGCTGTCTGTGTCCATCTGGAATAATGAGGTGATGTTACAGATGTGTAGCCTCAAGGTGTACTTTTCGGATGGTAATAAAAAAATGATCAGGTAATGGTTCCAGGCAGGCAACTGCTTTCCCATGTGACCTTCCTCGGATTAGTATTAACACCAGATCTATTTAATGCACTTTGCTTCCTTTCTAGAATGCCGTGTCTTGAAGTCATCGTATTCTCGCTCCTCGGCTAAGTACTCTGGATCCAAGAGCCCTGGGCCCTCTCGTCGCAGCAAGTCACCAGCCTCAGGTAGTGAATGGGAGAGGAATGATGGCCACAGGAGCAGCATCTCACTCTCCTTTTGTTTTCTTCAATGATTATGAATCCTTGGTCTTTCCACTGCTTGTATGCAGCCAGGTTCCAGAACAGCACGTAGATGACATGATTTTTAAAACCAAAAGTCGAAGTCTGTTTCTCAAAGTTGTAGTAAGTTGTCTAAGAAACTGGCTTGTTTTGTTCTGACACATTTTTTTAGAACAATCTTATTAGCTCAATTCTTCTCCTTGATATGTATGTAGAAGTTTCACATTTGACCATATTTGCATTTTAAATGTTGTGCTATATGGTTGTGGACATTTTCTTCTCTTGCCAATTTAAACCTTACACATACACACATCTAGCATAACAATGTATTTACTCGATAGGTTTCCACAGGCTTTTCCTTCATCAAGCAATTTAATAGTAGCCGCGATTCTTCTTGGAAAGAAGTGCTTTACTTACTTAAGAGTCAGACTTAACTGTACTTCAGCTTCTCTCGGGCCCTATGCCTATAGATTTGTCATCATTTTGAGCCTTTTGGCATTTAAAAAATATAAAAACATCCATAAACTTCTTGATGTATCAATCCTACAAGCTTTGTTTATAGTATAATCATGAATAACTTAGCTGATATTACCAGGGGCAGGGAATCTTTTTTTCTGCCAAGGGCCATTTGGATCTTTATAATGTAATTCTCAGGCCATATAAAATTATAAACTTAAAAATTAGCCTGCTATATTTGGTCAAACATTTTAATTAATTCACCCCTAATGCCTTGGCAGGGCCAGGAAAAAATGATTTATTGGGCCTTATGCGTCCCATGGGCCGGACATTCCCCACCCTTGGGAAAGGCTTGTGAAAAACCATGATTTCATGTGGCAATCTAGAACATGTGAAAGTAGAATCAACAACTGTCTCAAGCATCCAACTTTCTATAAAATACTGCGTTTGGGGGCCATTTTCCTGTTCACTGCTTCCCCCTTCAGCACCCACCCCACTTCCTCTGGGCTAGGTTGGTTCACCCTTCTGTTTGTGTGCAAGTTTAAACCTGCTGAATAACCGCTCTCCTTACTGTCTCCTCCTCCTCCTCTGTGTATACTGAATGTGCACAGTAAAGAGGGGTGGCCCCTACTCCAGTGCCTACTCTACAGCCAAATCCCCAGGTGAGCCATGGTTAGTATGGCTTTGTCACTCAGCTGAGTTTCTGTTGTTGTTGTTTGCCACATTTCTGTTTCCTTTGCTCCATTTCCATGACTGTATCTGGCTGGTCCCAGTGTGCCTCTGTGCAGTACGCAATGCTTCACAGTACGGAGGGCGCTTCAGCCTCCCTTACCTACAGGAGAACCGGTCGTTGTCAGAAGGTCGCCAAGTGCCTGTCTGTGTGTAGTCACAGTCCTAAGCGATGGAGGAGCTAGTTGCTAGTCAAATTTGGAAAATATTCTATTGAAAAAGACTAAAGTTTGTTGGTAATGTGAAAATGGCCACAGACACAATTGTGCTATTCTATTGTCACCTTCATGCCTACCTTGAGCTTAATAGGCTCAATGCTTTCTTTCTCTTCTAAAAAGTGTAGACAAATATGAGTATTTTTAACTGAAGGCACCTTTCTGCTGTTAAGCTTATACGATGCTTTCTGTAAGTATCTCACACTGGGAAAGCTAACATAGTAGGAAATTTGCATAAATGCACTGAACTGAGCTTATCTTATGGAAGATGTAGATTTTTGTCAGGTTCTTAGCTTTCGTTTAGTGATAGGGTTACAGGTGCTTATCCTTTAGTAAAATAACAAATAAAAGTGGGGTGAGTGTTTCAAGAATCAGGTATTATGATGATTCCAATTTTGTCTCCCTGAGGTCGAAAGAGGGAAATTAACATTCTGAACTGAAAGCATGATTCATAGCCACATTTGTCTTTCAGACCAACTGCTTCATAACATCTATATATATAGAAGCCTAAACACCCGGTCGACCATTTGACCAGTCGACCGATTGACAGTAGCTATGATACACACTGACCACCAGGGGGCAGATGATCCAACCAGTAGGTTAGCTTGCTGCTCGGGTTTGGCCGATCGGGACTGAGCGAGACGGGCCGGACACACCCTGGAACCCTCCCTCGATCCCTCCCCAGCCAGCCAACCTCCTGTGACCCCTTCCCAACTGGCCAGCCCCATCAGCCCCAATTGGGACTGGGTGAGACGGGCCAGATACACCCTGGAGCCCTTCCTGGCCCCAATCTTGCACTGATAGGGTCCTGGATTGCAAAAGGGTGCAGGCCAGGCCGAGGGACCCCACAGGTGCATGAATCCATGCACCAGGCCTCTAGTAGTCTAATAAATGCATACATCTTTTTACATTGAATTGAATTTGGAATGCTTAGTAATTGATTCACAAATCATCGCATTCCAGTACCCCAAATTTTTAACTGAGTCCATGTTTGGATTTGGGTTAATAGAATAGATCTTACATAAGTAAAAGGTGTGAGATTTTTTTTTTAAATACATTTTTATTGATCTCAGAGAGGAAGAGAGAGGGGAGAGAAAGAGAGAAACATCAATGATGAGAGAGAATCATTGATGGGCGGCCTTCTGCACGCCCCACACTGGGGATCAAGCCTGCAACCCAAGCATGTGCCCTGACTGTGGAATCGAACCATGACCTCCTGGTTTATAGTTCGACGCTCAGCCACTGAGCCACGCCGGCAGGGCAGGTGTGAGATTTTAAAATAACCTTTCAGAGAGCAAGCAGCTTCTTTCTAAGAGATCAACCTCACCACACAATGCAGTTCTAGAAAACTGAGACCCCAGTTAGTTGCTGGGACTTCACTGTGATTCTGAAGAAAGTTGCTAAGTGGGGATAGGCAAAAGTAGGTTTACAGTTGTTCGTATGGAGAAAGATATGCAAGTTATGGTTATTACAATAGCTTTATTAACTCAAAAAAATGTCACAGTGCTGGACCTGGAGATTATTATGTTACGTGAAATAAGCCAGTCAGTCAGAGAAAGAAAAATCATCACATGATCTTACTTATATGTGGAATCTCATGAACAAAATAAACTGACCAACAAATAGGTCTGTATTTACTAATATTGTGTTCTCTTCCCCACTTCCAGCAAGGAAAGAGTTTTGTATTATTAAAAGCCACAGTACCCAGAAGTATAACTTGCTTTTATAGGCTGCTTCAACTGTGGCCTACCTCTTAACTATTTAAAAAACTCCAGGGGACTACTTGGAATTTCAAACAGAGCTAGTGACTTTTTAAAAATAATATTGTACTTTTTCAATCTTGGGACAGAAATATTCCCATGAGTGTTGTGGTTGACTGCATTCCTCATCCAAACTCCAATTTATTGTAATAGCAAAATAATGTGTAAGAAGCACATAGAAATTAATCTGGAAAACATAAGTGGGTAATAGTTAACATAATTGGAGCCTTCATAATTCTCCCTTTAGGTTTCTAGCTTGTGATGCTTTCATAATTGACCAATATTTTTGAAAGTATTCAGAGAAAACAAGCAAGCAGTAAAGTCCCCAAGTTTATTTCTTACCTGAAGTTGAGGGAGGGGCGGATAGAAACCTCACTTTGGGAGAGAATCAGGGGCATAATGAAGGTGTGGGAGCATCACAATGCGCACCTCCCAGTGGGCGGCGGCAGTGTCAGGGAGAAGGCACCGTGGAGCCCTGCCCAACGTCCCACTTCCCCTCCCAAAGACTGGACAGATGTGCAAGTAAATGATACTAAGGACTGCTCATTAGAGAACATGTTTAGAACCTTCCAAATGCTATCGGGAATTTAGAGGCTTCATGTGACAGTGTCTCTTTAGGATGAGAGTTATTTGGGGGGAAATGTGGACATGTCGGTACTGACAGCAGTTAAACCCTGGCAGTGAGTTTCGTTAAGAAACCCTGTTTAGGCCGGGGGTGTACTGTTAGGGAGATTGGTCTGCTACACAGATCACCATTGGCAGGAATTTATTTTTTCTCCTTTAGTCCCTTTTCTATCTCCATTCCAAGGAAAGCTTTGATATTAGTGTGGTGTCTGAATATTACTGAGAGCTAACAGCACTTACTGAGTAGGAACTGGTGGCCGATACAGATTGCTGTGTGGTATGTAGGAAAAAAGATCTAGGCTCACAGCAACTTGACTAGTTCGTTGTCTTTAATCATCTCTATTTTATATGAATTCCTGCCACCAGTTCCCTTTAAAGAGAATTTTAAAAAGATATAACATTAATTGAAATTTAACTTAATTGGCAAAAAATCAGGGCTGGTAAATACTCTTAAAAGTTTTTAATTAATTGGATAGTTACTTGTTTTGTACTTGCACTCTATATACCCACATACATTTATTAAGAAAATGTAGATAACTGATAATTATTTTGAGTAGTTTTAAATTAGAAAAAAGTTAAAGTTTGGTAATTCAAAAGTAAATAGAACAATTTTTCATTTTCACTGAATTTTTTTTTAATCCTCACCAGAGGACATGTTCATTGACTTTTAGAGAGAGGGGATGGGAGAGAGGAGAAGAGATTCAGAAAGAGAGAGAGACAGCGAGAAAGAGACAGAGTCAGACAGTCATCTATGTGAGAGAGAAATATTGATTGGTTGCCTACTGTATAGACCCCAACTAGAGATTGAACCCACAACCTAGTTATGTGCCCTGACTGGGGATCAAACCCTCAACCCTTCAGTGTACGGGATGACCCTCCAACCAACTGAGCCACCCAGCCAGGTCTTCACTGAATTGTTAAAATGAGCCATACATAAGCAAACATGACTTTATGGGTCCCTATCAACCCCTGTGGACAGGATTTATCTAATCCCAAATACCAGACCCAGGACTTCTACCTCCACGCAAGGACTCATGCTCATCTTTTTTTTTTTTATTGTGTTTGTTATATCTGATTGGTTGTTTTTTTTGTAAATATATATTTTATTGATTTAGAGAGGAAGGGAGAAGGAGAGGGAGAAAGAGACATCAGTGATGTGAAAAAATCATTGATTGGCTGCCTCCTTCATGCCCCCTACTGGGGATAGAGCCCACAACCCAGGCATGTGCCCTTGACAGGAATTGAACCCGAGACCCTTCTGTCTTCAGGCCGACACTCTATCCACTGAGCCAAATCAGCTAGCGCTGGTGTTCACCTTTTTAAATCACCTAGTCAGGACCTTTATGACTGCATTTTGCTTTTTATACTTATTAGCATCATTTAAAATAATAGGTGTCTGCTTTCTCATGTTAAAAAAAGAAAAGGAGATGCACTTTGCTTTGCTTTCCATAGAGATGAATGGCCGTTTTGATCTACATTGGGCAAAAGCATCAAAGATTCATGATAAAAGGGGTTATAAGTACTCCTTAGAAAAGAAAAAAAATTACACCAATATTTGATGTTAACTACCAGCTGTGAAATTACAGCAGACATAGATCCAGGGGAATCAATTAGGAATAAGCATGAGTCATGTGGAACTGTGTAGCGAGCATTCTGTAGTGTAGACTCTGCGACCTGCCTTCCCCTGTGGCAGCAGTGGCCGCACTCTTCCAAGCGTAGGCTCTGAATTGAACTTTAAGCCTGAGAAGTATGTGGAAGTTTGGAGGAGGGTGTATAAAAAAAAAACCTAAACATCAAATTTGCTAAATGATGGGGAAGTTAATCTGCGAAGAAAAGAAAATGAATTAGAAATAACTAGTCTAGATAAAAAGAAAGTTGAAGAATGTTTTTGTATGGCCTTCAAACAAATAAGTAGATGTTACAAGGAAAATGACCATTAATTTTCTTTCTCCATTAATAATGCAATTAGAAAATGTGTTTGGATTATGGTGGAACTGATTTGGGAGAGCCATAGAAAGTCTTGGTTATTCAGGCTGATATATATATATCAAGATAGCAGATATTGGGGGTTATGAGACAATCTTCATAGGAAACCATTGCAAAGATAACAGTCATTCATCCCTACCCTTGCTGGTAGGCAGGATATATGGACAAGTTCTCAAGTCTCATCTCTAGTTCCATAATGTTCTATATCTTTGTCTATGTCACCGTTGGAAAGCTATTATTAAAAATAATCCTAGCTCCACTCCTTATTTGTCTAATACTTTGTCTGCAATACAGTACGATGCATTGCGTTTGCTTTTTGCTGATTTGCCATCTGCTTTGAGCTTTAAATGAATGGGAGCTTCATGCATGTGCTTAGTGTTTGGACACGGTCTGGTTGTCTGGAGTTTTCAATGACCTCTCTCACCTTTGTGTCTCCTGTCAGTTAATGGAACTCCCAGCAGCCAGCTCTCCACCCCTAAATCTACGAAATCCTCCAGTTCCTCTCCAACTAGCCCAGGAAGTCTCAGAGGATTAAAGGTATGAAATAGCCTGTGTGGCATGTCTGTATGACTTGCCATTTTGAGTTGCATAGTTTAGTAGTTTCATTTGATCGGGGGTTTGGGTGCAGTCACAACTCGAGAAGGAAAGAGGTCGGGATTTGGAGCCAAAAAGACATGGCTTTGGATCCTGTATCCGCTTTCATTTTGTAATGTTGGCCAACTTGGTTAACTCTTCTGAGCTGAGCTGTTCACTTGTCTAAAATGGGAATAGAAGGTTGTGGTTAGGATTGAATATAACATGGTAAAATACTATCAGTGGTAGTTTTCCTGTTATTAGCGAAAGGACTGGTAATGGTGAAGCCTTGGAGAACTCAAAGATTCTTCTTAAAATCTCATTTTGAATCACGACTTTAATATTAAATATATTAAATACTAGCAGCTAAACGAGTCCCTGCCACACTGATCAGCTTTTAGGACACAATGTTAATATTGCTAACATAGTTTGGCCTTGCATTTATAACTACTTATATATGCAAGCAGTTACACAAAAACAATATATTCATTTTGGTGAAGAACTTAGAAATAAATCTTAAGTTTTGAATGTGATGTCCTTATATAAACAGTAAGTTAACATGATTACCAGTTGGTTTCATAGGCATTTTATCTAATAGGGAGAAAAATGATGAGTAAAAGCAAATTTGAAAAATTTCAACAAGCTTAATTTGACTTAGTAGCTCTCAATAATTTAAATTTACAAGAGAAAAATATTCCTGGTAAAGTAGCAATAAATTGTTGAGGTTAAACATGGACAGTTTCCTTCTGTAGAAACAGTCAGATTGTCTTTACAGGAATGTACTCTGAGAATTACCTAAATACATAGAGTGCCATCCTTGTATATATGAATGTGTACATTAACTTTCATGCTCCTGGCGTGTTGGGTTTAACAGTGGAAATATCCCCATGAGGAATACATTCTCCAAAATCGGTTAGTATCATCTGAGTGTTTTTCTTTAAGGATGATGAAAAATGTTTTTCATTAGTAAATTACCTGGTGAAACACCGTACCCCCCCCCCCCCTTTGAGTGAATGAGGAATGAGAACCTGCCAAGCGGGGCATCCTGCCCCCTTCAGTGCTGTGAGTTCTGTGGTTCCCCCACTTCTCAAAGGGTTTCATTCTCCATCCGACTCTGAAGTTTGCTCATCCTGCCCTAAGAATGTTGTGTCTACCCCAGAGTGAACTTGCATGGTTCTCATTTAAGTGCCTGAAATAAAAAGAAATTTTGGCCGGAAAAACACAGACTGTTTTTGTGTCTCCTTACTTCTGTTGATTGGCAGGATTTGGACTGTGGCCAGTAGTAAGTTTGGGATTGGAAGTCCCTAGCGCTCACCTACCGCTGTGTGCTGGGCGCTCCTTGTATTTATAACCACCAGGCATTTTCTGAAGCGCTGACTTGGCATAGGTCAGTTCACAGTCGGATTCCAATGGGGTTCCGAACCGTCAATGCCAAAAGACATCATGTAAATTAAAGTTCGCTATAATTTAAGTATTTTTAGCTTTTCTTTCCCAACTTATTTTCCACCAGAATAGATCAAAGGTGCACTGTTTTTAATTTGAGTAACTTTCAAGAGAACTAAAATAAAAATAAATACAAGTTGATTCACCTTTTTTCTAGTTTCAGTTGTCTTATCATTTGTTGAAGCAAAAGCACATGGCTCCTAGTGCTGGTAATTGTTTACCCAATATTGCAAACCCAACATGAGCTGTGTGGTGAGCCTGTGCAAAGTCATTGGGATTTTCCACCGGACCGTTGTTCCAGGCAGGGCTAGGATCCTTGACCTAAGGCTGATACATCAGTCCCCGTTTACCAAGGGTCGTGGTCATTTTCCCCTTTTATGTTACCCATTGGTAACTTGGGCTCCCATCTTTCTTCCTGGTCCATCTTCAACTCTGAACCCAACACTGTCCTTTTCGGTTGATGCTCCTGGGTCAGTAGGTGCTGCTTGGTGCTCAGAGTGCACATCACTCCCTCACACATGAGTACAAATCCCACTCACATTTCTGGACTGAAGATTCGTGAAATTTTAAAAATGTGATGATTTGTATCATTGCTGAGGCATTAGATGATTAATCTCACTATGCTAAGTTTGTCTTAATTATTATAGTAACCTTAACTCACAGGTCCCTTTGGGGCACACAGTAAATTCTGAAAGGTTACTTACTGATGTCAAGAAGAATAAAGGGAAATGTTGATTCCTGGGGGTAAAATGAAATTATCAGTAAGGCAGAGAGCAGAGGTCTCCCCAGGCCCCTTCACCCAACCCCTCCTCCACCACACCTGAGCCCTGTGGTCTTTGCTAACAGCTGTGAAACCTCTGGGTTTTTCTTTCTCTCATCTGTAAAATAAGAACGCTTGATTTTAAAGTACCTCTAAAAATGTAGGATTATAGTCTTTTTTTTTTTTTTTAAGTTGCCAGAAAACCTATCTAGGAGGCTGGGGAGTCTATTTCTCATCTCACTTTAAAGCTGATGTAGAATCGCCAAATTTTACATCAAATATTAGCAGCTAAACGAGTCCCTGCCATACTGATCAGCTTTTAGGACACAATGTTAAACATCTCCACCCCTGCCCGTTCCCACAGGTTGTGCCTCATGGGAAATTCATCTCATTACCCTTCCCAGCAATCTGTGGTGCATATTGTCATTTCCAGGGATGAAAATCTGCCCTGGAAAAGCTACAAGTTAGTCATATGTTACTTACTGTACAAAATAACCCTAATTTCAATGTCTTTGTACAGCTCTAGTCAGCATCTGTCCACATTTGCATTATTCTCCCCATTCAGCAACATTACCAATGGAGAATTACAGATAATTACCATGTGTTAGTGCCATGCTTTTTCTTCCCCCTTCATTTAAAATCGCCCATTAAGGTCAATTAAGAGGGGAGGTCAGACAACGGAGGACTGTTTTTCATGGGCTGAAACTTTTTACCACTATTTATCCTCGTTAGAAGCTTTATGGCTTTGGGGATAGATAACCTTTTTCCAGAGAATCGGAGCATTGACAAAGCAAGCTCAGCCGGGACGGCGTGTGCAGGCGTCGATGCTCATGTCTCTCAATCTGCTAGGACACAGCTTTGGGCAGATTTTATTTATATGTTTTACTATCTGGATTTTACTTCGTAGGGAATTAAGCAAACAAGTCCCAAGCAAGCAGAGTTTGATGTTCTGCCACAATTTATCCCCCCTTTGTGCCAATTTCTGGGAATCGATTTGGTGCTTTGGCGGGAACACTGGAAGAACTGAAAGTGAAAGTCGAGTGACCGTGTAATGTCTAATCTCTGACCACCGTGTCAGTGGCATTTCTGTTTGCCCATTGAAAAGGATGAGAGACGCAAAAGCAGCCCTCCCTCCACAAAAGCACTCAGTGTTTTCTCAGTGCTCCCTGAGGGGATGGCGTCTGCATCCATAAAACCTCCACGCTCACTGCGGGCTGGACAGAGTCTGCAGCAGAGTCTGCAGCGGAAGCAAAGCTTTCTTCAAATTGTAGAAAGTTTTTGCAGGATGGGAGCTTAAAAAATAACATGGTGACTGAGTTATTCAAGGTTCTGAGAGACTTTAGGACCACTGAGTGTGAATTATACTTCGGTTATAATTTTTTGGTTTTGCAAGATAGTGACCGCAAACCATTGAATGTGAAACCTGGAAGTGGTCACGGATCTTTAATGAATGTAGTGTTCGTTTTATAGTTGGAGAAACCGAGGTTCAGAGATGTGATTCGCTCAAGATCCCAGTGGCCAGTGGGATCTCTGACCCTGTCAGGGTCTGTGTCCCTAACCTCTGGTTCCCCCCATCACTGGTGGGTCTGCATCAAGGACTCCAACACAGGCACCCCAGGGAGAAGCCTGTGTGATTATTACGGAGGAGCTATGCCGTGCCAGTCTTTTAGGAGGAAGAGTGCTGCCTGGGTTGCTTGCTGAGTTCCTGGGTTTAGTTCTGCACAAATGCTCTGAATGAAAAAGGGTTGAGAGATTAGGAAAGGAACGAGGAGGGGAGGGTGGGGAAAGGGAGGGACAATCCTGGGGTGGAGGGGAGGCTGGATGAAGGGAGGTGGAAAGATCGAGAACTCCTTTTGATAACTTTTCCTGGGAGACTTGGCGGGGTGGGGATTTCCTAAGAGGTATCTAATGAGAGCTCTTTTCAAGTGAAATGGTCTGTCTATACTGTGTGCCCAGCACTTCCTCCTGACCCTATAAGGTTTTAGTAAAATGCCAAAGCTCACAGTAGGTTAGGGTTATTGGCTTTCTTTGGAGCTGGGTATTGTCAAGCTTGGCATAGTTTGGAAACAGTGTAGTCCAGGCCCAGAAAACGCATGGGTGCATGGATCTGAGCTAACGTTACATGGTGGGCCTGCGATGAAATCCCTGTTGTGAGGAGTGGGGTGGCAGAGCTGGGATTGGAAAGCAGAGCTCATGCTCATAACCATTACTAGCCTCCAAGGACACCCTGAGAAAGCAAGACCAGTCTGTTGAACGTGATTGGAAACAACGTGGTCAGACCGAATGTTCACTAGATGAGCTGCTAGGGCCACCTGGCAAGTCCTCATTGGGCCTCTTCCCCAGAACCAAGGCCCTAGGTATTAGAATTTGGCTTTGCTTTTGTGTGGACTTAGGGACTCGGGCTTTCTTGAAGGGCGATGCCACTCATGGTGATAGTCACCTGGAGAGGAGGCATTCTGCAGGCCAGACACGAGCCACCTCCACACAGTGCTGCCATCAGGCAGACGGGGAGCCCAAAGGCCTTTGCAGTAAGTCCAGTTCATGCCAAGTTGTTCTGGGCCCATATCGAGAGAGAGCGTGATGGCTCCTTTATAATTAAAACTGTCCAGAATGCCTGGGATTGGTTTTGCTTGGCTAGTCACTTATCTCTGTGACCTTGGGCAAGTCACATCACCCTTCATTATAAAAAGGGGAATAGGACCTGCAGCCCAGGGTTGAGATTAATTGGTTAAATATAGAAAAAGCCTCTGAATAGCTTTGT